TCACTCAAACTCACCAGAGTTTGGTCTTTGATTGCAGTCCGTGCTACAGATAAGAGAATAGCCTGTGACGAAGAGTTCTCAGACTCTGAGGATGAAGGGGAGGGAGGCAGGAGGAACACAGCCAATCACAAGAAAGGAGCCAAAAGGCCCAGAGTGGACGAGGACAAACAGGAAGGAGAGGAGAAGAAAGCTGGTTGGTTACTTTGATGCTTACTCGATTGTTGTTATTAACAGTGTAACAATGTGTAACGCTGGTTGTGATTAAAAGGTTTCTTTCTTCCCCATTTTTCCCACCTTAGATATAAAAGAAGAAGAGAAGACAAAAGACAGCAGTGCTGAGAAGACTGACTCAAAGAGGTGAATGTTTGAATTCATTCACACACTGAGTGTTCTCGCTCCTTTTTAAATGCAGTTACTGCATGCTTTTTCAAACTGAGTATGAGGTTGTGTTGTGCATGACAAGCAGAGCTTTTATATGCACAAATCTGATTAGGGCACAATACTTCAAAGATGTGGAGAGACTGTGGGATTGTTGTCATTTTTCATGAAGTTATTTTACTGTGACATCAAAACACAAAAGATGCTTCAGAAACTCAAGTGAAAGTCATATTGGGCAAACCAAAGCGCCAGTGCAGTCAGCTGTTGCTCTGATCCTGAGCTGTACCTTGTTCAACCACTGGGCTACCACAGTATGTGCACACATTAGTAGCCTGTTGTTCTAATGTTATATGTAGCCAGTACTTAACTGATCACTATAGCAACATTTCTGTTGTTTGAACTAATCGATTTTTCTTCCTCTGCAGTGTGAAAACTGAGCAGACCAGCAGTACCTAAAGTGTTCTTATCCAAAGATCTTAACTGGTGCTGTCGAGCCTCAAGGATCCTGCACTTCCCCAAAACACCATTAAGAAGCATTATATTTATTATGACTCTTTGTTTTCTACTTGTAAATTGTCTCTTTGTGTTGTGTGTCAGTGGTTATCCTGAATTCAGCCCTTGAATTTTCCAGATTTGGTGCTTATTAAACGATGTGAATCCAATGTGCTTAATCTTCTGAATCAGCTCTTTTGTCGTTAAACAAGAGTTTAAACCCTTACGTGAACCTGTAATGATTTTACAGCTGAATTTTGATATTTTGTGTTTGTTAATAAAAAAAAATTTATACTGTTGTCTTTGAGATTGTTGTTTCAGCTCATCATAGATTCATGTTCTGAACATGTTCAGCCACAAGAGGGCTTTCTAACCTGGGAAAAGGCATCACAGTACATGCAATTTATTTCCCAGACACAGGTGGAATGAAGGATTATTACTGGCATGCATATGTAATGCATAGCTTTCATACAGTGTTGCTGTGATGGAAGCCCACCTCAGGCAGTAACTAGGAGTAACTAGTGACCCAAACTAGTGAACTTGGTTATTTTCATTCAGCTTCTTCATTCATATAACAAGCTGAATGACAAGGAAGTAGTGACCACTTGTCAGTTTCCGGTCTATTATAAATATTTTGCTCATAGTTCTGAGAAGTGGTTTTCCGGAATAGTGAATTGCGTATCCTTTTTGCTGGACAACAGCCTGCAGTTGTTTGTTGTAGTTTTCAACGAGTCATGCGCATGTCTCCTGAGCAATCCCATTCTTTGACAAATCTCTCAGGCTTCTCCATATTTGATGGTCTTCTGGCATGTACCTTGCTCTTTAGTTCAAAAATCCCTGAAAAGCCTTCAGTTGATCCAAAATGCTGCAGCAAGAGTACTGACAGGGACTAGAAAGAGAGAGCATATTTCTCCTATATTGGCTTCACTTCATTAGCTCCCACTTAAAATTCTTCTCCTTACATACAAGGTCTTAAATAATCAGGCCCCATCTTATCTTAATGATCATATAGTACCATATCACCCCATTAGAGCACTTCGCTCTCAGACTGGGCTCACTTGTAGTTCCTAATATTTAAAAGTGGAATGGGAGGCAGAGCCTTCTTATCAGGCCCCTCTTCTGTGGAACCAGCTTCCATTGTGGATTCAGGAGGCAGACACCATCTCTACTTTTTAGATTAGGCTTTCTTCCTGTTAAAAGGGAGTTTTTCCTTCCCACTGTCGCCAAAGCACTTGGTCATAGGTGGTCATCTAATTTGGGGGGTTTTCTCTGTTTTCTTTGTATTATTATAAGGTCTTTACCTTCCAGTATAAAGTATCTTGAGCCAACTGTTGTTGTGTTTTGGCGCTATATAAATAAAACTCAATTGAGATCACCTCAAAGATTTTCAAAGGGGTTTAAGTCAGGGGTTGGTGCAGGCTGGTCAGTAATGTGTGACTTGACCTTGACCCAATTTCCATCCAAATTAAATCAGTTCAAGCTGGTTTTTGATATCAACCATCACATAACATTTGAAGTGAAATATTAAAAACTGTGGAAGCTAGCCTGCTAACAAACAGACAAATGGAACCAAGTTGATAACCCCTCCCTTTGGAGGGAGGAAAATTGGTTTGCTACTACATATTTGACACATTCCTCAATTAATCTGAAATCTTGAATCAAGTGTGATGGCCTAGAGCATAGGTGTCAAACTCTGGCCCGCGGGCCAAATTTGGCCCGCAGCCTAATTACATTTGGCCCACGAAGCCATACCAAATTACTATTAGAGCTGGCCTACTGGTATTATACAGCTAATATATATATTGTTTAGTATTAAGCTTTGCTTGTTCCATATTCAGTTTTCCAGCAAAACTTATTTGAGTCCATAAGAAAAGATTCATTCTTATATCTGGAGGAAGATTTTTTTTTTCAATAAATATTAATGTTAGCCCGCGACGTCGTTCCATTTTGAATTTTGGCCCACTGTGTATTTGAGTTTGACACCCGTGGCCTAGAGAGTTATTTATTCCGTTGGATAACCAATGGCACTAACAGATTTTTCCCCAAATTCAAAGAGTCAAAGAGATAAATCTTTTCAATATGAACTTTGCTTTGTGAAAATCTTAAAATAGAAATACACTCTTTCTTGAATTATTTTGCTATAATAAAGACGCTCCAATACCAGCATTATATCATTGTTATTATTATTCCTTTTACAAATCCTGACTATGAAATCCTCGTGCCATTCTTCAGCGTCACAAATATAGCCCCTAACAGAATCTTATAATCAGTGTTTAGCAGGGTGATTGGTATTAAATTGTCTAAAACTCTTTTATCTTTGTCAGATTTAGTAACTGTTTCAAGCCTAGCATCCATTCCTTTCTTCTCTGCATATTCTTATAAAGTGCCAGATAAGAGGGATCTTAGTTCCTTCCCAAAGATAAGGCCATAATCCTGTCTGTCTCTCGAGAACTGTTTAAAGCCATTTTCGTGTCTGCTGAGCTCAGTTCCTCAATTTCAAGCTCTGACTCACTCAGATGTTTAAAGGAATCCTCAATACACAGGATGATGTTCTGAATCTTATCAAACACAAACTGTTAATAAGAGAATCAGTAGTGTAATCACCTGCAGTCTGCTATATTACAAGTGGTGTGAACGTTCAGGATATTGCCAATGCAATGGTATTTAAGAGAATATTGAGTGAATGGATGTTTTATGGGCACACATTATGAAGTAATGAGAGGTTATGATGTGCTGTTTAGTGCAGCCACGTTGAACTAATTGTAGTCTAGAAAAAATGAATAGAAAAAGCACTCTCGCTTGATTTAAAGTGACTCATCGATACTTTTTCTGCCTGTCCTTTTGAGACAATATGCTAATTTGCAGGAATATCAGCAGGTGTTACATCATATTTCTTGGAAAAGTCATTGTTGTTGTTTGTCATTACATGTTTCCAGTAGTCTGGTGCCTCAAGGTTCATACTCTAGATTATTTGAACCAATCGTTCTCCGCGTTGCATTGTTTAATTCTGTGCTCGCCGTCATTCTCCCTTTCAGACTTTCTTTCATGCCACCTACCTCATCCCCATCTAAATCTCAGACAGCCCAGCCAGAGTGCTATTCAATACTGGACTAGTATTGAAAAGCCTTTAGTTAATCCAAAATGCTGCGGCTAGAATACTGACAGGGACTAGAAAGAGAGAGCATATTTCTCCTGCCTCGGCTTCCCTTCATTGGCTCCCTGTTAAATCCAGAATTGAATTCAAAATCCTGCTCCTCACATACAAGGTCTTAAATAATCAGGCCCCATCTTATCTTAATGACCTTGTAGTACCATATCACCCTATTAGAGCACTTTGCTCTCGCTCTGCAGGCCTACTTATTGTTCCTAGAGTATTTAAAAGTAGAATGGGAGGGAGAGCCTTCAGTTTTCAGGCCCCTCTTCTGTGGAACCAGCTTCCAGTTTGGATTCGGGAGACAGACACTATCTCTACTTTTAAGATTAGGCTTAAAACTTTCCTTTTTGCTAAAGCATATAGTTAGGGCTGGACCAGGTGACCCTGAATCCTCCCTTAGTTATGCTGCAATAGGTGTAGGCTGCTGGGGAATTCCCATGATGCATTGAGTTTTTCCTTTCCAGTCACCTTTCTCACTCAGTATGTGTTAACAGACCTCTTTGCGTTGAATCATACTTGTTATTCACCTCTGTCTCTCTTCCACAGCATGTCTTCTACCCTGTCTTCCTTCTCTCACCCCAACCAGTCGCTGCAGATGGCTGCACCTTCCTGAACCTGGTTCTGCCGGAGGTTTCTTCCTGTTAAAAGGGAGTTTTTCCTTCCCACTGTCGCCAAAGTGCTTGCTCATAGGGGGTCATTTGATTGTTGGGTTTTTCTCTGTATGTATTATTGTATACAATATAAAGCGCCTTCAGGCAACTGTTGTTGTGATTTGGCGCTATATAAATAGAATTTAATTGACTTACTAGCGGAGTATCCTTGTCTCTACAGGACCCATACCCTGACATAATCTTTAACAACAAAAGAAACAAGGGAAAGTTTCATGATGATGTCAGATATCTGTAGAGATGTTCTGTTTCAGAGAAATTTCAAACTCGATGTGTGTCTATATATGTTGATTGTTTTTAGTTAACAAGTTTGGTTTAGGGTTAACTCCACATCTTATTAAATTTCTTTCCTCTGGACTTTTTTCTTTCAGCATTCATCAGTCATTACACAAACTGCCTTTTCAATCTCTTTTCTATTACTGTCCGATTTCTGCTGCTGCTGTGAGCTGATCAAAAACGGACCTGTCCATTTCACATCAAAGGCACCATCTGAAATTCTTCTTTGTATCTCTCAGTAGGTTCTCAGTTATCCAGGTCATGGTAGCCTAAGGAGATTGGAAAAAAAGCCACTGGACTTCTTTTAAGTTTCCAGATAGGAGGTGAAACATCGTCAAGAAACTCAAAGAAGTCCAGTCATATTTTTCCCAAGCTCCTTAGTCCTCTTTGTGTCGTTCAAATAGATAGATATGACTGGTTGTTAGAAGTTTTAACTTTTGAGGAAGATTCATCGCCTACATGAACAGAACTATATTATATTGTGTACTATATACAAAAAATATATGTGTATTGAAATGCATGTGTGCATATTCAGGTATGTGACCATGGCTGTAGCTCAGGTGGTAGAGCAGGTCAGTTACTAACCGGAAGGTTTGTGGTTCAATCCAAGGCTCCTCCAGTCTGCATGCCAAATGTTCTTGGGCAAGATACTAACCCCATGTTGCTCTCCGATGTATGAATAAGCACTTAACAGCTTAGAAAAAGTGCTTGTGTGATTGGGAAAATGAATTAGTTTCTTTGAGTGCTCAGATAGAGTGGAAAAGCACTATATAAGAACCAGTCCATTTACCATTTGTGTGTATTTTGATCTAAATATGTGTACTGAGATCTGTGTGCGTATTCAGATTAGGGAGTGTGTAAATAAATCTGTAGGCATGCACAGATATCAGTCACAGTTCTCCCAGCCTTACAATTGGCAATTGTTTTTACACCTGACCTTTGTTATACAGCTGCTGTGGCAGATCCACAAATGCATGTAGTGATCTACAAATGCAGACAGTTATCTGTCAGTTAGGGTTTCATTAACCCTGAGCTCAGGCTCACACACTCAGGTTTCCTGCAATGCTTAGAACGTACCAACATATGTGGCATATTAACAGCTATATGATTAAGCTCCAACCTTGTGGTTTAGAGAGTTATTATGTCCAATGATGATAAGGCTAACCACGGTAGCATTCCCATTGAAAGAAAACTGGATTACT